GCAGACGGTCAAGCGACGGCTCTGACGCCACGCATGAGATAAGGACAGGCCAGCCTGCGCTCGGTTCGGCTTTTCGTCTGGGCCGCGGAAACTGTTGACAGCTTCCAGCCGCCTCTTCGCTCCGTTGACATTCGGTTGACCGGTCGGGCCGATTCGCGTAAATGTCGCACAATCGGGCCGGTCTGGCCGAAATGAGATGGGCCAATGGTCGCAGACTACTTGGCTTGAATATAAGTAGTATAGTCAATTGTAGTAGCAAATCAAGTTCGTCTCAGTGGCACATACTTGAATTCACCTTTGTCCTGTGACTTGGCAGCAACCTGACATGGTTGCCGGACAACCACAACCCGAGTTCGAGTCCCGCTGAGGGGTGTGATGAGGCCCGGACGGGGCGAAACTGTAGCTCAATCATCTCGTGCACCGCCATTATTATCCTCATCCTCATCATCATCATCATCATCATCATCAGTCAATCCTCCCCATTGCCTTCTTCAGCTCCACGCATGATTAAAGGTCAATGTTCAAAGAAGCCATCGTCGTAAATACCAACGCCAGAGTGAGTGTACAACTCCGGCGGGAAGTGGAGATGATACTTCCGATGGAAGAGGTTAGAGGGTGGACAAATTGCAGGAGAAGGCTACAGGGTCCATTGACTTTAGTTGTTTGTGAATTATGAAGAGACGAAAAGTCTGCTTGATTTCGCTTGAAAATGGGACTGTTTTGTCGGGCTGGGTTGCAATTTCGCGAGGCATGATTTCGGGAACGAGCAACGACTTTTGTTTGAGTGAAATGAATAGAAAACAGCGGAAATCAGTCGTCGTCTTTATGCTGAAATCGGCCCACTCCAATCTCCACATCACACGCACTTTCACACGAACTGATCGCATCAAATCGAACCAGACGTGAGCTTTGCATTCGACATAATTGGCCAGTCTTTTGCTGTCGAGAGCCAGACGCAGCGCATTTCCACGCCTGCCATAAAAAGCATCGTCCCCACTCGCCTCGCTCGCTTTCGTCGTTTGCGCATTCGCCGAGAAAATGGCGTCACCTTGTCGTTGTCCAGCTTCCCCTGCAACCGGCTGTGCAGTGAACTCATGCAAAGGGATTCGATCGCCACGGATATGCATCACAACCACCTCGATGTCTCTTGGCAACTCGGACAATCACATTGGCCTTGGATATCTTTTTTGTCCTCCCTACAAACCACACGTTTGGTAGTAACGTCTTCCCATTTACTGGCCATTTATTCTGATTATTTTGCTGATTTATGAGATACAATTGACGGCGCAAAAGTCCTCTTGCACGGAATGCTCACGCAGAACACAAGCAAAGTGCTTTAGTATCAACGCGAGCGCGTTGGCAACCGGAGAGAGGGTGGGGAGAGGCAGGTGTATGAAGTACAGGCCCACCGTCTGAAGCTCATCTTCAGGCGTTGCAGGCAGGCGCGTCAGACTTCGATTGACCTGACTAGTTTTCACTTAATTTCCAGCCCGTTACATTAAATTGAAGGTCAACTACACTCGGCTGGCGATCGCGATCATAATAGGATCACCTTACTTGACCTGCAATCTTTCCGATCTCCATCGGCTTCATCAACTTCAGTGACTCCACTAACTTTATCATCTACAATTTCATTAACTTTGTATTTAATCACTATTGTCCCAATAAAACCAATTTATAATATAATTGCGATAAAATAGTAAAATATAATAATAATAATAATAATAATAATAATAGCAGTAGTAGAAGGGTCAGTTGTATTCGCAAGTTTGAAGCTTGAAGCATAAAAGTGAAAAATCAGAGGAAGATCTGGACGTTAGCAAGCAAAACTGTCATAATAATAATGAATGTTATTGCAACAATACTAATTAACATTATAGGTATAATATAATAGTAAAATATTATAAATATAATTGTAATATAATATAGTAGTAGTATTATTAATAGTAGTATCAGCAATAATATTAATAATACTAGTAGGAATAACAATAATCGTACAAGTAGTAGATGTAGTAGTGTCACTTGTGTTTGCAAGTGTGAAGCTCTTCTCGGCTCGAGGAAAAAGCAGAAGAGTGAAAATGCCGAGGAAGACCTGCAGTTTGGCTCTTCTCGTTCGGCCGTCTGGGCTTGGCTACAACTTTGAGCAGCTCTTGGTCGAGCTGAGGTGACCACCTCGACTGGACCGAACACATCAAGACAGTCGCGTTTGCGGTGCAGAAAGAGAGGCTTGTCTGGCCCGACGGGACTCGAGCTCACCCGAGGGCGGGTCAAAATAGACCGAGCTGTACCATCTTCGAAGGGTTTCCCGGTTGTCGAAGAACTCTTGACGAAGAGTGGCTGAGTCTCGAGGCGTCGCAGGTTCCGCCCGATCTGGTGTTATTTGCATGGACAGAGATCCTCATGCGGGCACAGTCCATGACACTGCTTCCTTCGGCTCCCGTCAGCACGCGTTTGGCCCTCGTCCGTCAGCCAGACTTTCACAGCTCCGAGAAAAACCGCGGCTCGAAAGCATCATCCGCATCATCCGCATCATCTTTCCATTTTATCAATTCGCGAAGAGAAAGCAGTTTTCGAGAGCATTGCATGAGTTGGCCAAGTATGCGTTTAATTGCTTTGTCGGTCTTTTCGTGTATGTGCGAATATGGGCATTTTTGTGTGTATCTCTAATACCAAGTCTATTACTTCCTATGCCCTAGTCTCTTGTGTGCCGACCCACAAACGTTGTGCTTCAACATTGAACCTAAC